CTGCTACTACCACTACTGCGACTACTACTAAAACTACTACTACTACTACTACTACTACTACTACTACTATGACTACTGCGGACACGTGAGCCCGTAACACACTTCAGGATTGCCAAGTATTCGCAGAAAGCAGACTACTCCGACCAGTTCGCCCTTCGAAGATATGCTGCTCCAGTGGCATCCTGGATTGCCTACGGCCCAAAGGGCCGGGCTCCAAAAGTGAAAGAGCTAAAGCTCCTGAAAAAGTTCATGGACAAGATGGATGGTAAGCCACTGCCTTCTCGATTAGCCAATGTCCTCGCAGACATGAAGGCCGTTCTCCAGTGTCTCCCGACGAGGCCTGCCGATGGATCCTGGAATGAGGCAGAAAAGGAGCTGCGAAAAAGTTTCCGCAAGTTGCGCCGGCGATGCATTGAATCTGTGGCTGAGACAGTAATGGTCGGCGCAGATTGTGGCAGTGCTGAAGCAGAGCTGAAAGCCGAGCAGGACGATGTCATACAAACCGGTGAAGCCGATGATCCGACATCTCCCGGTACATCTGCCAGGTCTGACCAGCACCTTACGCTGTTTCGCAAGATGAATGAGTGGGGCTTTTTGGATGACGCCCAGAAGCTGGAGCGCTTGCAGCAAGCCGAGCAGGCGGCCGGCGACCAAGGAGGAGGGAGCTTAAGTCAAGACCGCCTGGCAGATGCGGTGACCATGGCTGCAGCTTGCCTTGCAGCTCCTCGCAGACAAGCGAGGTTGCAAGATGCTTGTTCTGAAAACCTGGGCGAAGCTAGAGCTGTTCTAGAATCACCGCAGGGTGACAATACTGATCTACAGAGAAGGGTGCGGTCCTTGTTGCTGCACACCCTAAGCATGTGGCGAACGTACCAGTGCGATTGTGAAGCCATCGAACATGTCCTGGATTGCGTGCAACAGAAGATCAACAAATTCGAGAACAAGGTTGGGGAGATTCAAGGTGCTGCTGCGGGGAAGGCGTGGCTAAAAATCAAGCAGATCGTCGACGAGCTGCTGCTACAGGTAAGGGCACCTCCAAACCTGCATGCGCAAGGTGCAACAAAGGCCGAAGCCGAATCTGCTCACAAGTTCAGAACAAGACAGGAGCGCCAGAGTGGTATACAGAACATTTGCTGGCAGGGGCAAAAGATGGGCTGGCAATGCCAAATAGGCTCCAGGCAAGGCAGACAAGGTACTGGTAGGAAAGCTCGCTTGTTTCCAATTTCCAGGTTTCTGGAGCAGGGTCTCGGCGAGGAGGCGGCTGTCGAGGCCGCGCTGCAGGAAGCCAAAGCGTACCGCGAGGAGCTCGTGCGCCAGGGCAAGTTGAAGCCCCCGACGCCGAAGAAAGCCGGTGTAGTCTTTGACAAATCCTACCAGAAGTGGCGGGTGCATTTGTACCATCCCGTCGACAAGAAGAAGCTGAGCGGTGGTTACTTCGCTAGCAGGGAGGAAGCCGAGGTGAAGGCCCGGGAGATGGCTAGGCAGTACGGGGTTCCATCCGATTTCGCGGTGACACCGGCGAAGAGAAGCACAGCTGAAGTGCATTGAGAAGCTGGGGACCTGGAATGTCTTGCCGCACCTTAACTCAGTTCTCCAATGCCCGACTTCTAAACTTTTCGGGTTCTTATAATTTAGTAGTACTATAATTTAGTAGTAACCTGAAAGTTTTACCTTTTATTTCCCCTGCTTATTGGGGAAGTAAGTTAAGGGGGAGCCGAGGCAGTATGGATATTTGGGTGCCAAGGAGGACGCCCAGGCCTCAGCCTTGAAGATGACACAGCACAGCAGGTCGGAGTTCGATCTTAAACCGACCGGTTTAGGGTTTAGGGTTCAGGGTTTAGGGTATAGGGTTTATAGGGTATAGGGTTTAGGGTATAGGGTTTAGGGTATAGGGTTCAGGGTTTAGGGTTTAGGGTTTAGGGCTACCGAGCTGCTGAGGAATTTCCGAGACGCCTTCGAAAGGTTGGGCCTTCAGTGGGTATACCATCGCCATGAACGAGGTGTCCCGAAGCAGTGCTGGATTTCCGTATACATACGTCATCGGCACCAGCAAAGATGCAAAACGGAGTTCCTGCACTGGATGGGCAAAGCAGCAGGAGCCTACGCGGAAGACTGCGCAGCAATGCCAAGACCGAGGTTGCCAGCATGACGCGACGAGTGCTCAGAACAAACCAAGTGCTTCCGCACATCCTCGGGGGGGCAGCCCCGGCCATGTTGATGCTTCTGAGATGCACACAGGAAGGGAGTTACCGTGAATTCAGACGCAGTCATTCGGCTTTGGGCTCCGTGCACTTGGAGGTTCACCGATGGTTGCACCGACGTACTCCGACATCCAGCTCGAATGGTGTTCATGAGATTTTGTTAGCTCTGAAAATGGTCCGCAGTAGACGGCAGTCGTTGCCGTGGTGTAGTGTCTAGAGTCTATACATATATATATATATACACATATACATATGGTCATATGTATATATGTATGTGTGTATATATATATTTATTTGTTTAATTATATGTATATAATTATATTATATAATTATATTATATAATTATATATATATATATATATCATGCGTGTGTATATAGTTAGCTGTGTATACGCACGTTCTGAGCGTGTCCATGTCGGGCGACAAATGAATCTGTTTGTTTGTATATTATCTGATTGTTTACGCATCTGCAGATGCAGGTTTTACTACGCATACATTCACATGTTGTCATACACATGCGTACACTCACAGGTTTTCATGCACACACAAATATCGACTTATATGTTGCCTGACACATGCGTGCATACATACATACATACATGCATGAATGCCTACGTACGTACATATACACACATACATACAT